TAAAAGTAGTTGTTTCCTTAGTGCCGTTTCATTTTGCATTATGAAAGAGGAAAACAAATGTCCTGCTTTCGTAGGGCAGAATGTGAATGTGCTTTCATTTGGAGGAAATCAGTCGCTGATACTGTACCCTCCTATGCTGATTGCTTTCTAGTTGCAACAGGTTTCATACTAGCAAAGTTCTTTGTTCTTTTGTGAAAAGTTATCATCCTACTTATTCTATAAAATAGCTTTTAAGCTAAATTTACTTTAAAATGTATCAAACCTTATTATGCATAATGAAATATTTTCTATCCAGAGTTCTCACCATGCTCTATTCTGCATAATAGCAAAAAAACAAAAAAATCTCTCATTCTAACACCCAACTTCAATTCTTTTTCAGATATTTACATTTCAGAAGTTCTCATTAGCTTTGTCCTCTTTTCTTCCCATTTCCATTCTCATCTCGCTTTCTCCTTCCTTGCACAAATTCAGCTGTCTCTGTACACAATCTCTTCAGTACTTTCTGAGGTTACTATTACTTTGCAGCTGTAGTTCCCTATTCTCCTACATCTGCTTCCTATCCCCGTGCCTTCTTCCATAACATACTCCACTCCTATCTCCTTTGTTGCCTGCTTATTCTGTCTGAAGCAAACATATTCCATAAAAAACCAAATCAATAGGAGACATATCTTTAGAGGATGAAATTCACTAAATTTGTTTTAAATGTCTGCATTAATTCATGATAAATTTTGCTTTAGATGCAGTCATTTCCATTGACTGTGAAGTCCAGCTATCTGCCTCTGACAGAGTGGAACACTCAAGTAAAGAGAGGATAATTCCACTCTGGATGTCCAGTGTTCTAATGCTCTAGTAACATTTTCTCAGCTTTTCAGTAATTTCACTGCCAACTTTCAGATATAGATGCCTGGGCCAGTAACCTATGCAAGATGCTTGACTGGATCTTCCTGTAGATGTTGGTTAAGACTAAACCATGATGTTTATCTTTTTTTTTTTCCTTCCTTTTGTACATAGTATCTTTCAGATATGGCCACGTCAGGCTGTCATTATCTTGGATCTTTCATACTGTCCACTCCGAGGAAATGATATCCTATCCTTTTTGTTCAGAATGAAGCAATAAAAAGCCTTTTCTTATCCTTCTTATTTACTCATTTCATACAATCAGCTGTGTATCCTTGTTTTCTTGTTCTCTGGCCTAAATGGCCAGGGGATTTGAAGCAAAAGGCCTGTGAGTATCCATGAAATAATCTCCTTCAGGACCCAATTTAAAATCTGAATTTTTTATTTGTTTGTTTGTTTAAATACATTCACAATGGCTGGAAAGCTAGTAGGCCAAAAAGGTATCTGCCATTGGAGTAAAAACTATAACAGGTGATTAATAATTTCCTCCTCCTTTTTCTCCAGCTGTAGAAGAAATAAAGAAAAGAGACACTTTTGCTTTCCAGGACCAAACAGAAAATCCTATTGCCAGTATGTCGCACCAGGCTCACAGTTTCAACCAGGCTCACAATTTCAACCTGGATGTAAAACTTAATGGCTAGGAAACTGGGCCTTTTAAGAAAAAAGGAAAAGTGGTTTTGGTTCTTCTCTGACTGGGAAAGCAACTGAACACCAGATATCTGCACTCCTAAAAGCAGTACAGCCTATATTCCTTCTACCCAGCAGAGGTACACCACCTCCCTAGGCAAAAATACTCCTGTGCAGAGACACATAAATTGCCTCTGGCTGAATTAATTCAGAGAGTGGAATCATATCTTAACCAGATAATTAGCTCTTCTCAAAATTGGCCAAGAAGCAGAGCTAAATTATTTAAGATCAGTGTAATCAGCTCGCTGGTACCAAAAGTATTTCTGGCACAATACTGTGCCAGGCAAACTACACAGAGGGCTTGTGTGGGCTTTTTTATTTCTGTTGATACCTATTCCAATTTTGATGCTACAGCACCAGCTCTTCTCCCTACTATACAAATCCACAAAAATTTCATCATTTGGGAAGTAAGAGTGCCCTGCTAAACCTGCAGACAGTTTGCTGCTAGATGTGATATCACTCTCTACTGCCTTTAATGCTGGAGAATCAAAACTAAGCCTTCTGTTTTTCATGCTTCAAATATTAACATTTAATTTTGTACTAGAAAATGTTGACCTCTGTTCCTATGAATTTAAAGCTTCAGGACAAGATCTCCAGCAGCTTTTAAAACTGTGTGATACCAGAGAGAGAGGAGTACTATGAGCTCTCTCTGGTTTTCCAGGCTATGAATGAAATCTGCATTTTTGCAATTTAAAGAAGACAGCTTGCACTATGTGCCCAATAGGAAGAGCTCCATCCCACATAGTTAAAGACACATTTATAGATGTAATTGACAATGTCCATCCCCATGCTTCTTCTACACGCGTCTGTAACTCTCCAAAATGAGGTGGATGTTGACATCAGAAATACATCTGATCTCTTCCTTTGCTTCCAACAAATGGCTCATAAAAGATGCCCGGGTTTTTGGGTTTTTTTGTTTGGTTTGGTTTTGTGGGGTTTTTTGAGGCACTTAGTGTCATGCATATTCTGAATGAAGAAATTAGTAGATTTTGGAAGGGGATTTTGCCCGTGTAATAACAATCAGAACCAAATTCTCACAACAGGCTCAACACAGTACTGGTTGTTTTTCTGAAGGAAGCAAGGAAACCTGCCCTATGCAGAAGAGAATCTGCAGTGTGACATGCTATCACTCAAAATCCCCTATGTGCTACCTAAAAAAAATACTATCTCCAGCAGGGTCTTATTTGCCTTAAAATTTATTAATGAACTTTGATTTCATAAGACATGATGTGGTGTTTGATTTAAGTCACTGTTTAACTGTATAACAGATTCTTTTTAATGCATTTAAATTTTCTTGCTGGACTATTTATTGAATAAGAATTCATGTATGACTAGTTAATTACAAATGTGAATAACTATATGTTAAAATTATTTTTCCAGGTTCGTACATGAAGATTTTAACCAGGGCTTTAATGAAATGTTGTTTCCAAACTAGCTCCTGTCAGTGGGCACGTGACTGTAAAATAAAACAGTGTAAAGTTTCAAAAGCAACATCTGTCTTAGATGTTACTGACTGCCCAATAAAATCAAGCCAGATAACAGTTCAGCTGTCTCAATAAGCAGTGGACGAAAACACACAGTTTAAGAACACATTTTCAAAGCAAAGTGGTAGAGATTTTTGGCAATGTTTGTCTTTTCTGTTCTCTGAGATTATTATTCAGCCCACATAACCAGCAGGGAAAGTTGGGAAACAGAGAGCAACGTAGAGTAACATCCCAACATGTGCAAAACATTTTTTTCATCATGCTCTGGAGGAAAAATTCAAGACAAACAGGGAGCCAGCTATGGGTGGTCTTAAGAACTTGAAAAGGAATGTGTTAAGGTAGCACAGCCCTGGAAAACATACCTATAAGGGTTAATATATACACATCTGTACTCCAGGTCCAGCATGTGCATGTGATGGTCACATCCAAACACGTATGCTGGAGAGCATAAGTACAACATGTTGTAAAAACAAAAGCTTTCTTCTTGTTTCAATTGGCCAGCACACCAAGTTCAATGTCAATCTGCCTTTTTTCTCAGGCACTTTGCAAAACAAGATACTACAGATATTTTCAGCCAAAAATCATACTAGCAAAACTTTGCCATTATTTCACCAGCTCTTACAGACATTAAGTAGCCCAATGTATGAAATGTTCTTTGCCATTACAGTAGCAATGAGTAAAAAGGAATGGACTGTTTCTATAGACATAACCCAATGCAACCCACATATGTTAGCTGTGCTTATTTCCCTTTAAGCTGTAATTATTTATGTCATATTGCAGATCAGATCTGAATCTGGGTATCTAATTTACCGAAAGGTTATTAAAAAATAAAATTATGACAAATGCAGCATGTACTATAAGAAACAAACCGAGTATTTTAAGAGTTAAGGTTGAAGAGTTCACGCCACAGTTATTCCCCATATCTGTTTTTGATTGTTGAAAAAGATGCACTGTACAGCTGCTCTCCTAAAATCAATATTACTGACCTTTTAGACTATGAACTCTGTCTAATCAAAGAAGCAGACTTGTTTGGTTTTTGGTTTTTTTTAAATTTTTGAACTGCTTCATGTGGTTGCTGTCCATAATTTGTGAGGTTACAATTTTTTTACAGTTCTGCTAGAGTTGTGTATATAAAATGTTAGCATAATGATAATTGAACAGTGTGCTATCTGCTGCACCGTTAGCAGCTCCTCTATAGGACTGAAGGAAACCTGAAACATTTGTGCTAGTGCTGATCATAGATTCCAGAGTAAAAATAACTACCTCGGTCTGGAGACCATTTAACAAGCCACATTTTCCAACAAAAATAACAGCGTCTCCATTTGTTAGGTTTTAACACCCATCCTAGGAACCCTATACAAAATAAACATGAAGCCAGGTAACTTATGGACAAAGTAAAATTCATGAGACAGAGATTCCAAAGTATATAATGTGATTTGAAAATATTCTTTTATTTCTCAGATGCAGTTAAATCCAGCTTTTCAGCAGAATCCCAGAAAAGTTCAGAGCTGACGAGCAGATAACTCTAATACAGGGCAGCTGCAGTCCCTGTGCCAATTAACAGCCTCAGTCACTTCCACGAAACCCCACTGGCTCCTGATTTACGTGCCTGTACTGTAAAGCCTCTAAACCAATTCCCAGAGCCAAAATAAAGCATGGTCTGTGCAGCAAACTGAAATCTTGCTGGAATCACAGAGCAATGCCATATTTCAGTTGAAGATTTCAGGATTCCTGTGTTAATAGCACACTGAGGAGCTAGTAATGGGAATGTGCTTGTCCATATGCCGCTGTCATTAGATCACCCATTTGTTTGTATACAGATCCCAGACTTCCAAGCTTGGGCTAATTTTAGCTGGACTCAGATGATCCTGCCAGACTTGCTATCCCTCGCTTTGCTAATTATTGCTCAGCACTCTGCTCCAGCTGACTTACCTTTTTCACTGTCTCTGAATTGCTGCCAGGGAGGAAGCAGTGAATGGTGCTTGGGGAGACCTCCTTGTATCTTCCTTGCTGTGTTTTAGTCAGTTTGTTGGGTGCAATCCCATTAACAACTGCTGAAAGGACGCTGCTGGACATGAGAGGAGTCAGGGTCTGGCAGAACAGACAGAGGGCCACCACTAAGGCCAGAAGGAAGGGACGAGGGCGACAAAGCCTGCGGCATCTGGGGACTTGCCCACAAACCATGGCCTCTTTGCCAACCTCACTTTGTCCTTTGCCACATTGCAGATGCAGTCCAAGTAGCCACGTCTTGCCAGGTAAAAAAAGTCAGAAGCACACTTTACCCAAAACTAGTGTGAATTTTCCCATTTCTGCTGCTGAATGTTTTCCTGGTGCCAGGCAAGAAGCCACGAGTTGCAGAGGAGCTGAGGTTTGAGGAACACCTTCCCATGGAGTTACTGGAACAACCTGTGAAAAAACAACAAGTGAGCGGCAGCAAACAGCAGCATGCCATGGGACATCCTGCAAGGAGCTGTGGAGAGCTCTTCCACTCCCTGCTCTCAGAAAAACAAACCTGCCAGCAGACAGGTGAGGAACAGAAATCTTCACTCCCTTTGCAAAAGGAACTACTTACTCAGCTAGACAATAGTGTTCAAGAAAGCAAGAGGTTAAAGCTTAATGTGTCCTGTCCAGAGCTGAAAAAAGTAAGAGAGTGTACCAACTTTGTGAACAATCGTTTGCTGTTTTTTCTCTCTTGCATTTTCAATTCCCACTTTGTTTTTACAGTTTCCTTCATTTCAGTCCTTTTAAATTTCCTCCTTCCTGTTAGAAGGCACAGCTTTCTCTCTAAAAGTGATAATTTATCTGAAAACTGACAGACTATGAAGATTTTCATTTGCATTTGTTTTGTCCAGATTGCAAGTTCAAAGTTAGGTTTACTTACTTGGTTCTTACCCTGTTTGAAGTTTTCCGTTCTCCTCTAATGGGCTGCTGATTAAAACCACTTGGAACAACCCTGGCTCATGATCCCAGCTCGTCTCACACACTCAGGAGGCAGGCACACGCACATAACACACACCATCTGAAGCCAGTTGGACCACAGACTTCATATAAATAAGGGCTGGACTGCTCAGAGGGTGGAGCTAAGCTGGCTCTGCTCAGAGCAGGCACAGGGTTTGGAGACTGAGCCTGAGGTCTGCACGGGGGATGAGAGGTATCCTTGCTCATGCTGCATGCCTCGAAGCCACCATCACTGCAATTTTTAGAAAACTGTTGTTACAGTGATTAGCCTAATTGAAACAATATTAATATCTTTCAGGGAGAAGCACCTGCAGTATTTTAATACAGATTAACAAAAAATGTTGCAAACTAAGCAGCTTTACTTGGACATAAACATCACTGACAAAGCAGTCAGTGTCAGTACTTTTCCTTAGTAGATGTAGTATCTCATAGCAGAGTATAAATAAAACTTCTTGCTGATGTCAAAGAGGGAGAGAAAGGAGGGTGGACAAAAATACTCTGATGAAAGCACTTAGTATCTAAGCCACAGAAGGTCTTAGTAACTACTTCCCCCTACTGACACAGGACAGGGACGAGACAGATGGGAACAGTTCACAAACTGTTATATTTATAGACCAGAACTTCTAATATAATCAAGTTATTTTAGTTAAAAATATCTGTTTATAAGTAATCAATTTTATCTTCCATCCTTAGTTAATGATTTTTTGAAAAGACAGTTCTTCCTACACTGCCTCATATATAAGAAATGAATGTTGTTACAGTAACTTTGAGCCAATCTACAGTTTGGCAGCTGCAGCAGCACTACCAAATTAGAGGCCTAAAAACAGCAAGGAAGGATAGACTATATATTTTTTGAATTTTTTTTTTTTTTTATTCAGCTTTAAAATTCCAACCCCCCCATCCCCCCATCAAACTAAAGCTATTAGTTTGCTGACAAAGAAAAATGCTATCAAAGTGATTGAATACTTCATGCAGGACCTCAGTGGTCACACACACTGCATTTTAGTTTTATGTCTGGAATTGTAGTTACCTAAATTAGACTCCTTGGTTATCCTGAGCAAGAGAAGACTACTCCAACTGCCTGTGCCCTGCTGTGATATACGCTTATAAACCACAGAGGAACTCCCATCTTTGCTCTCTGGAGACATGCTGCTTGTGCTACCTCCTTCCCTGCACACCAATTCACATCCTCGGGTCCTGCTCCAGCCAGCCTGTGTTGCAAAACCTCTAGCAAGCCAACAAATCTGGCTAGAAGATACCAGAAAACCATGGGTACTCCCTGCAGCTGTCTGTGGGGTAGCTGTCTTCCATCCAGTGGAGAGGGATACTCAGGAAGCTGGTACATGCAAAGGAGGATTGCAGAGACACTACTGGCCAGCCTACCTGGGAGCCAGACTAATGCCATCAACAGAAGACGAGACTTCCTTTATTCTTATAAGGTATTGTCCTGAAGATTTTGGCATGCCCAGATTTCTGGGCCCAAAACCACCAGCTGCGTGGGCAGCATTTGCATGGCTGTCAACTTCTCTCAGACTTCTAGTGAGGGTATTTTAGTCAGAGCTTGATGGGTTATCCCAAGAAGAATAACCCATAATAACAACTCGATCAAAACCATTTGATATAGATTTGCCTTAATGGTTGTTTTGTAATGTGGAGCTCATACCTCCTTGGAGAATCCCACTCTAGAACAAAGTAATCTTCTCCGTCCCCACGCCCTGCTCCCTCAGTTACCTTCAGCACAGAGAGTAATCATGTTCCCCCCTCCAGCCCAACATCATGTTTCCCTTTCAACTATTTAAGTAAAGTCTTTATCCTTGCATTTTCCCCCATGTCTCAGAGTCAATTCACCCTTCCTGCAACCCCAAAACCATTCATGGGTCCCAAGACTTCAGGACAAGCGGGGAACAGATGAAGGAGGTATCAGCAGAGGCAGGCAGATGACTCTGCATCCTATATATTCCTGGGAATCAGCCTTCTATTCATCTGTGCTATTGTTACTTTGTCCCCCGCCTCTCTGCTACCACTGTCCACCCCGCAGAGGCCAGGGAGGCAGGGGAGGTAGTTTAGCTTGCCAGAGGAGACCCTAAAAACGAGGCTCTTTCCCTTTGCTGAGATGGCAGTCGCAGCTTTATTTCTTGGGATCCTTCGGAGTGAAGTTGCAGGAGGGAAAGAGAAAGAAGTATTGATAAGCACTTCTTTTTCAAGGCAGGGGAAAGGGATGGGGGAATTTACACAACCAATAAGGGGAACTGGAGAGAACAAGATAAGGGAAAGAACTTACAAGTCTACATTTTTGGGGGTACATTCTTTGGGTCATACCATTTTTCCTAATGGCATTACAACACATCTGCTTTCCCCAGATGTTCTGAGGAGTGAGCTGGATTTTTCTCTAACTTTGGGTTTCTTTTCATGACAACAGCATGTTGTGCCCATTTCTTAGGGTGTAAATACTTTCCTCAGTCACATCTAGAGTGCAATGTACATGATTCCTGTTATCTTTTGAATCAGGATCCCACGACATCTCTGGGCTTACATGTCTACTGATTTGCCTTGCCCCAATCTGACACTTCAGAAATTAATTAATTAATTCCCCATACTGCATATGGGGACTAATTTCCCTGGCATTAACTAGTCTTTTAGGAAAAGGATATAAGTGGATATGGGTCTCAAATTCACAAGGAAGATTCTTCAGTATATAATATTCAAACAACTGTTGGTAAGATCAGGACTATCCAGCTAAGTATTTATATTCATAGGTATATGTGCGTGTTTCAGAATTTCTAGCAGAAAGGTATAAATCTCTTTCTGAAAAACAAAACAAGCTTAGTATTGATTTCCTGTTTGAGATTCCCTGACCTGTTCCTTCCAGTAGCTGCTCCCATTGCATGGATTAAGGGCTCTCTAGTCTGTTTACCTCTTCCTATTTCTCCCTCTCACTCAGGACTTCTTGCCTGGCTGCTCCCTACAGCAGCCAACTACTGTCCTGCTCAGCACGAGGCAAAGCTTTGCAGGGATCGCCTCTGCCAAAAGCAGCAAGCCATGACTGTCAAAAGTGATCTCCAGTGCTTGCAGACAGAATCCCAGTTCCATCTGCATCATCTGGCATAGACTCAAAGTGTTTAAAACTACCCTGACACAGAAAAGGTGAGAAGAAAGTCACAAGACTTACTAAAAATTACCAGGGTCTGGGATTTGAGAGGATTTAGCCAAGGTGCCATGCAGGCATGTAAAGTTCACTATTCATCACTATTCACTGGGTTTTGACTCGGCTCATACACACACAGCTTCCATTTTACGTGAGTCTCCATGTTTGATCAGTGGTGAAAGCTAGTGACCACTGAAAAATTATTTCCATGATCTAAACAGTAACCTGGGAGAAAATATTAGGCACAGAAAGTTAGCAGGAATTTAAGGTCAGCTGAATACATACATCTTACACATGCTTAACTTCACTCAGAGATCTAACATAAACCATAAATTAAGTCTAGGTATAAGTGCTTGTAAGATGAAGTCTTGATATAAGAAAACTATTTAGCATCAGTAATTTCACTATAGAGAGGCTGCCAAAAACAATATATGTTTAAAAAAAACCTTTTCACAATTGTTCTTTTTCTGGAAAAAGTTTCAAATTTCAAAGCATAGCATCCTAGCATCCATTTCTGTGAGAAATGAGATCACATGAAAAATAAGTGCAAACTGATAATTTCTAAATTAACTGATAATCAAGTGCTTGCAACCATCTGTCATCTTCACAGAGCAAACCTACATGCAACCTTCATTTTTTATGCTCAACTCTTTAATTTCGTTTTTATTTTCTAGTTTGCTAAAAATTGTGTTAAGGGACATAAATTCTCACTAACTTCAAAAATTAGTTAAAAGCTTCAGGAAGAATAGGCCTTAATAGCACTGTAAATATTCAAGCAAAGCATCTTGTTAAGCTGTGTTGGAGAAAACCAGCTCAGCTGCACCCTCCCTGATTTTTTACTTCTTATATTCAATCCAGACTGCAATTAGATTTGTGGTGTCTTTAAGCCTGTGTGTGGTCCCATTATAAGCAGAAGAAAAGAACAAAATGAAAAAGAGACAAAAAAATACAGTAATTGTTCTGAAGTGAAAATCAATCCCAGCACAGTAAAAGCCCAGATTGTCTCTCCTTGTCTCATCCATAGAACCATGTAAGCATTAGTGAGTGTGATTTTCCTCCGCTCCAGAGAACAAAGATTCATGTCTGAATCCCGCTTAAACTCAGCTCTCTGATTTTGGTTCACAGTGAACGCAGGCAAGCAGAGAATCACAGAATCAGCTGTGTTGGAAGGGATCCATAAGGATCATTGAACCCAGCTCCTGCCCTGCACAGCACCATCCCCAGGAGTCACACCGTGTGCCCAAGAGCATTGTCCAAACACCTGTTAATTCTCTCAAGCTGGTGCTGTGACCACTGTCCTGGGGAGCCTGTTCCAGTGCCCAAACACCCTCGGGGTGAAGAACCCTTTTCTAACATCCAACCTAAACATCCCTGACACAACTTCTGGCCATTCCTTCACGTCCTGTCACTGGTCACTACAGAGAAGAGATCAGTGCCCTTCCTCTTCCCCTCATGAAAAAATTGTAGACTGTGATGAGGTTTCACCTCAGTCTCCTTCAGGCGCAACAGACCAAATTACCTCAGCTGCTCCACATAAAGCTTTCCCTCAAGGCCCTTCCCCTTCCTTGTGACTGTCCTTTGGGAACTGTCCCCTAGCTTTATACCTTATATTGTAACACCCAAAACTGCCCCCAGCACTCGAGCTGAGGCCACCCCAGTGCAGAGCAGAGTGGGACTTGCCTGGCTGGCCATGCTGTGCCTGGTGCCTCCCAGGACACTGCTGGCTCTTGACATATTTAACTTGTCAGCAACCAGGACCCCCAGGGCTGCGTTCTGCCGCAGCGAGGGGCAAAACAACTGCCCTGGGCCCTGGAGTCTCAGACCTCAGGCAGCCACTAAGGACCAACAGGAAAGAAAACAGGATAGTCTTCGTTTAGCAAAATCCAGGATCGTTTACTGAGCCACGGACCAAGTTTTATATACCAGGGTAGGGTTGGAGTT